TTTTTTTTTTTTTTTTTTTTTTTTGATAAAGTCATGTATGAGGAAATTGTTGAGAAAGTTGGCAACAAGGAAGACAGTTTAGGGCATGTTTGTTTTACCAATTAGGAATATTTTATTTGGTCAGCTTTAATTGCCTTTCTTTTTAAATAAGAGTAATTTAATTTAATTATCATATTTTTAGTTAATAATACATCAAATACTAATATTTTAATTTTATTCTTATTTCTAAAAAGATAAAAATTTATTAATTTTTTTTCATTTAATTATAAATAAGAGTAAAAAGAAAATATAAATCTTAATTAATATAATAAATGAATTTCTTAACAATCATAAATGGATAAAATAAAGTAACTAAATTAATTAAAGGGAGTGATTAATAATTGGTACATGGTTGACATTTAACCGTTGATGATTATTTTTATTTATAATTTAAAGAGAAAAGAGAAAATTAAGATATCTAATAATTGTCACATAATGAATTTAATAAAATTAAGATTTATATTATACCTTACATATTTAATTATTGTAATTGGACACCTTGAAATTTTTTATTTCTCTAATTTAAATACTCAAATCTACACAATTATAAAAAAAATATTAAAAAATAAAGCTTTAGTTGAAATTACTATTTTCTTTTCATATTTGATAATAATTGTCATTTATACTTTTCCTTTTAGATGAACTTGCTAAATGCATCTTAAATAACCAACGACGTAAATAATTCAATGATAATTTTTTTTCGTTGAAAGTAAAAAATTTTAAATTTGAATCACATCGGATAAGATAAGAAATTAAAAAGAATTGTCTCCCATTGTGCGATTAATATAACAAAAAAAAAAAGCATCTTAAATAAAGGAGGCTTGCCTCCCAATAACCTGGAAATAAAAACTTCTCACTGAAAATTAGGTGAAGGGGAAAAATGTAGTAATACCAACGAGATACTTTTTATTTTTATAATATTGAATATTAAGATGTGTAAATTTTATTCTATTTTTTTAAATAACTCTCATTTTTTAAAATTAAAAATTTGAGATAATTTACGTGTTTCTGTATATTACTTTTTTTGAAAATAAAAAATAAAAAAATTTTGTAATAAGATTATAATTAAAGTAAAGAGATAACAATATAATTAAAATAAAATACATTTTTTACTTGAAAAATTAAAAATATAACAATTAATTAAGACAAATTTAATAAAAAAAAAATAACAGCAATTCTAAAACGCAGAAAACAATGAATTGCTCTTCTGCTTTGCTGGATAGGACAGCGAAAACTCCATAGAGCAGACACAAGTACGCCACCTTGAATCAAGAAGGATTTGGACATATGACAGAGTATCTTTTGTTGTAAAGTGGAAAATATATCCGGACACCTTCCCCACGACTCATAGGCATTCAATGTAAATAATAAGAAAAAAAAATGTTTAGCTCTCATGACCGAAAAATTAAAAATCCTAAGCTCTAAAGTCAATTTTTTTTTTTAATTCTTATTTTTAAGTATTTATAAAACAAAATATACTACCGTACAACACTTAATATTTACTAGTCACTCTTCTTATCGAAATGTACTTAAGACACTATGACTTAGGTTATATCTTAAATCTCCTTTCCTCCTTTCTTGAAAATTTCTCCATTGTTAAAAATAAAATAAAATAAAATATACTACCATCTTTTTAATTTTTCTCTATCCATTCCACCAACATAACCTAACATGTGATTAAAATCTCTAATTTTAAAATACGTAAGACTATTATAGGACCACAACCTTACTTGAACAGGATCTGTTCTATGGGCTCGTACCTCTGTATCCTTGAGTTCAAAAGACTATTATAGGACCTAAGTATTACTTTTGTAGAGATGTTATTTGAATGTGGTATTGTATATGTGTTAAATCATAAACTTATATAAAATTATAAAAATTAAAATTCAATGAAATTGATTGATTTATGAAGTTTGGTAGTTAAAACTCTTTCAAAACCTATGAGTTGATAGCACTTAT